AGGACCCGCTGAAGCGGCCGTGCTGCTCTTCTGCTGGCTCTCGCCCCAGGGAGTTGCGCAAGAGGCTGAAGCCAGAGCTCCTGGAGCTGATCCGACAGCAGCGCCTGCTGCACCTCTGCGAGGGCACCCTCTTCCGCAAGATCAGCAGCCGCCGCAGGCAGGGTGAGTGCCAGCCCTTCACTCCTGGGAGCGGGGCAGAGGCTTGTGCCGGAGTGCCCCCTTCCCCCATCAACACAGAAGTGGCAATTAATCTGCGGGGAGCAGCGTGTCCGGCTCCCTGGATGGGTGACATGACCTAACCCACGGGGTGCAACCAAGTGGGGTGTGCAGATGCGAGGGGGCAGCTCCATCCACCCGGGGAAGGGGACCTCAGCGGCGGGAGGCTGGGCATTTCCCAATGGCCTTTCTGCTGCAGACAAGCTCTGGTACTGCCGCCTGTCACCCAACCACAAGGTGCTGCACTACGGGGACGTGGAGGAGGAAGTGCACTCTCCCCCCATCGAAAGCCTGCCAGAGAAAAGTAGGTGATGGAGAGAAAGAAAGGGTGGGAAGGAGGGAGGGGAGTCTTCTGCTCACCCCAGCTGTGATGTGCTGGGGATGCCTTAAGGTGGGAATTGCCTTTCTGCCTGGGTGCCGTGCGCCTGGCCCAGTGCCTGCTGGTACGGTGGGACTGGGCGCTGTGGGAGTTCAGGCTGGGGTGGGCTGGCTCTCCAGCAGGCGCTGCAGAGCGGCTTGTGCCGCCCCAAGTTGTGGATGGCTGCGAGCCCCAATGCTCGGGCTCTGCTGGGCTCTGAGCCCCGGGGACCCGGGGGAGAGGAGAGCAGGTGCTCACAGCTTCTCCGCGTGCCCCAGTTCCTGTGGCGGACATGAAAATGCTGCTTGTGGGGAAGGAGTGTCCGCACACGAAGGAGAAGAGCTCTGGGAAGCAGAACAAGGTCAGCACCTCGTACCTCGCGTTGCGCAGCTGCTGTGATGGTTTTTGGTGGTGGGTGGACGGTGGCAGGTTTTTGATGTGGCTTGAGACTGTAGACCTCTTGGGTCTTCTGGGGCGCGGAGGAGGAGGCTGGGAGGCAGGTGGGAAGAGTCCAGCTGAGAAGCTGCTTACCTGCTGTGCTGACCCCGCAGGATGTCCTAGAGCTGGCCTTCTCCATCGTGTACGATGTGGAGGATTACTGCCTCAACTTCATTGCACCCACCCGGTACGAGGTGAGCTCCAAGGGCCCGCTGGGGTGGCACGCTGTGGCCAGATGTCCTTGCCCAGGGGACAGCAGACAGGGGAGGGAGTCGTGTGTGGGGTGGGGGCCTCTCTGGCTGCCCAGGGCTGGTGCTAGTGCTGCCTGTGCTTCCTCAGTTCTGCCTCTGGACGGACGGGTTGAATGTGCTCCTGGGCAAGGAGATGACGAGCGAGCGAACACAGACAGACCTCGATGTCCTGCTGTCCATGGAGCTCAAGCTGCGGCTCCTGGACCTGGAGAACATCAGCATCCCCGACACCCCCCCTCCCATCCCAAAGCCTCCCAGCAACTTAAACTTCTGCTACGACTTCAGCCACGCAGAGCAGTGAGTTCCTCCCTGTGCCCTGTCCCCCTTGTGCCCCCCAAAATCAAACCCCTTCCTCCAAGCTCTGTCCCTCATCTCCGGCCCGAAGGGATGAGGCCACGCGCTGGCTGGGGGCTTGGGCACCTTGCCCATCCCAGGGTGAACTGCCCTCTCGTCCCTGCCTGTGTCCTGCCCTCCTGCAAGAGCATGAGGCTGAGCCACAGCATGCCAGGCTCCTGTTTAAGGGGGGTGAACCGGCTGCTTTGCCCCCCTGCCACGGGCAGGTGAGACAAAATACTTTCCAGACAGCCAAACCCCTCTGCGGTGATGCTGACCCCCTGCCACCGCAGCCAGGGTTTGGGCAGAGAGGGCAAGGATGCAGGCAGGAATAAAGGTACAGGCAGCCCTGGGACAGCTGGAGGGGGGCAGCACTACAAAGGTACAAATCTGCATGGCCTGGCTTTCCGCTCAGCATAGGGGATCCTTTCTGGTCAAGAAAGGGGTTAGAAAAAGGATAAAACACCATTTTGGCGAGCAGAGGGCATCTCCAGAGCGTGGTGTGCCTGCCCAGCCAGGCCCGTACTGCACTGAAACGTTTTTCTGCTGAGCCCTGTGCACTCCTACTCCTGGAAGGGGGGGTGTTTAGGTTACAAGGCCCCTCTCTCAGCGCCATTTCAGCTGGGCAAGTGCTCATCACTGCCATGCCTGGTGTGAGGAGATCCCGGTCTGCCCTTGCTGCCCTGTGGCCCTTGTGCCAATCCTGGTGCCTTCCCCTGCCCCAGGCGGGTACTTGCACACTTCAGCCATGCTGCTGCACTACTGCACCACGACAAGCTACCTCCTCCCCGGCCCCCACGGCTCCCACCCTGGTGCCTCGCACCTCCTCGTGCCTACAGCTTCTCCCAGGGCTGTTGCGGTAACAACTGTAGCAGCAGTTCGCCGGGGCTCCGACCATGCCTCTGCCTCCCACGCATTGGGACAATAAACACTTGTGGAGAACTCGGGGCCGTGTCCATTCCAAAGGTTTGGGGAAAGGGTCAGGCTGACTGCAGGGCGAAAAGGGGCCAAAGTGGGCGAGACCGGCATGGTGCTGCGGCACAGAGCGTGAAGAAGCCTGGAGGGTGGCCAGGGGGGAGGTTTTGTTCCTACTGCTGAGTGGAGGAGCAGGCACGGCATCAAGTCACCCCTGAGGAAGGTGGCCATGGCTATGTTGTCCCACAATTGGGGTCCGGTACCCTGTGTGCAATAGGCCAATCTTGCACGCAGAGCTGAGATATTTATTTCACGTTTGCGCAAAAGCGGGTGCTATGTGTTAATTCCACAAATTTAGCACACCATGTGAAGGAATTACGCTGTATTTATCCTGTTACATGATTAGCAAAAACAATGGAAAACCCACCCAAATTTACACTCATTGGTTAGTGATTACTGTATCACTTGCTACTGGTCAGTTACTATTTAAATTAGCTTTTTTTAAAAAAAATTAAGACTCTTGGCAGGTGCGGGGGGGGGACAATTGGCATAGTCCCTCAATTGAGTTGGTGGTCATGCTCTCCCCCTGCCGCCTTACCTTTCCCCCAGTTACTGTTACTACTGATGATGCTGACTTCATACCAGTGGCATTCTTCTATCCTTGTTCATCTCCCTTGTAACAAGATCTCTCCTTGAAGTCCCTCTCATCAATCCCTCCTCTGGAGGTTGGTGATTAGTAAGGCATACGAAGTAATCAGACCTAAATTGAACAGTGTCACCATTATCTATCTAGGCTGGTTGTACTCAGTCTATGAGTACAGCCTAGGAAGGCTTAGGAGCAGTGCAACAAGTAACAAGTTGGCCAGGCCCCACTCCTGCACTTGGGCTTGAAGCCTGGAGAGCAGCATCCCGGTCGGGAACAGGCGGTTGCAAGGAAAGACGAGGCTGGCGGAGGTCGTCTCTGTGAGGCTGCTGCCCCACAGGGCCAGGCTCTGTGGCCCCGGGAGCCAACGGAGCTACCGAGGGACTTGAGAGCTGGGCACCTCCTCCTAAGAGCCGTGGGGCTGCACAGGGGGGCGGAGATGAGGCACCGGCACCC